CTGGGATCCTTGCCTCTCCTGATATACTCAACCTGAGACCTGCTGACTGCAGTGTGAAAGGAACGGAGCATGAACACTCGGAAACAGGGGCTGTGCGAAGTTAGAGACTTGGGATCTTGATCCCCGTGGCCCAATAAAGGCTGCTCTTGGACAAGCCATACCTCCCAAGGATGGGACAGAAGAATTGAATACAGTTCCTTCCTCCCAGGAAATGTACCTGGGTATCAGAAGAGTTCTGCTCTGTACCCTGACGCTGCTCACTTATTTTCAGGTCCTAGGGGAAGATGCAAGCACTGTCGGCAGGGTTCCAAAGCCACGTGGCCCTCTGCCATTAACCTGTCAGCTGTAATCAGCCTTGGCTTCTAGCAATGTCCCTCATTTGGGAGCAAAAGGAAAGTGGAACCAAATGGGCGGCTATCTGTTGTCACCTACAGAACTAGCTGGACCTTCAGTGAGCCATTTAACCTAGTTAAGTTTCAAGGTTCTCAACTCAGAAATGAAGGGAACTGGACCACATCCTTTCTTTATGTTCTTTGGTGTGTCTCTTTTCTATTTTGCTGGGATGTTGGAAGGATAAATTAGGCAAAATCTACAGAATATAAATAAATTAAGATGTCATGCTTACAGCCCTCACTTATGGAATATTCCTCAGCTTATATCTTAGGGACCTGCTAGCATTATTGGTCACACTGTTCACCCAGAGAAGCAAAGAAATGGAGAGGGTTCCATATCTGAGAGCCAGAGTAGAACTGCAAGTTCTTAGTCCTCAGTTCGCTGCTTCTTGACCACACCCTTTGACTTCCCAGTGGAGCAACTGACTCCCATGTAAATTTGTGTCATTTGGGGAAAAGTAATCAATGGAAGAGACAGGATCAAACTTTGCAACCAGTAGAACAGTTTCTGCTGAAAATCTTAGAATGAAAGAACTACCATTTTTGCCCAGGGAGATTCATCATCAAAAACTATCATTTTTGCCCAGGGAGAACATTCTTCACTAAGTTCTGTTTTCCTATTTTTGTTTTTCGTTTCGTTTTGTTTTGTTTTGTTTTTGCTATGTGTGTTTTTCTTTATTAGAATTGAGAGTTTCAAGTCTAATTAGAGATTGGTCATTTCACAATTACTGCCAGAAGAACTAGAGTATACAATGTTTTAAAAATGTATCTTTTGATTTGAAAATAATACACATTCATGTAGAATTTGGAAAGGAATATATAAAAGTATAAAAGAGAAGAAAAAATTAACTGTACCATTAGCACTCATAGATAATAGCTGTGAATTTTTAGTTATTTCATACTAGTCTTTTTATATATAATTATAAATGTGGGATTATCTTGCAACACACAGAAGGTATCTTCTTAGGGTCATTAAGTAGACCCACAGACAACCACATGCTACATTTGGCACTGGTCTACTTGGAAGGAACCATAGCTTGCCAACAGGGAAGCATCACGTGCTCCTCTTCAGCACATGTCTTCACAGTGGTCCAGCAGAGCCGTGGAGCTCAGGTGCAAGAGACCATAGACACATCAAAGGATGCAAGAGCCACTGTGGCTTAAAAGCCCCACACCCTATAGAAGTCAACATATGGTGCAGCAACTCCACAGGCATAGCCTTCAGGGTCCTACAATGGATGTGCCAAATTTCCAGAGTCATTGCACTTAGAAATCATAGCACGGCACCTCCTTGGGTAGTTATAGTCCTCAGAGTCCGGGTGCAACTCACCAATGAGGGGTTAATCTTGCCTAGCAACACAGTCGATACATACCACTTTTTCCTTTTCTAGGGAAGCAGACCCAGAAAATTAAAAGAAGGTCAGATTCTCTTGTGAAAGGGAGAAAGATTTTACATGCAATACTGTACACATTTTTTTAGCCCTTAAAAAAATCTTAACATTAAATCAAAAGCCTGTTTCATTGCTATTAAAGGTGTTTCAAAAACACAGCTGCCTTCTAATGTATTTACACAATTCTCTAGGACTGTGTATTTAGCTAGTTCCAAGTTTTCCATTGAAACTACTGTTGACATGAACATCCCTATACACAAATCCTTGTATTTATGTAAAACTGATTATTTCCTTAACATAAATTCAGAGGCTGGAATTAATGACTGAGTCTGAAGTTTACAAACTTTTAATATATCTTACTTCAATGAGAACTGTGTGAAAGTTTCTGTACCTTCAACAACACAGTGTTTCTTTAAAACATTTGCCAATTTTACAGAAAGGGGGAAATACTGTCCTTGTCAAAATTACTTTTCTTTGATAATGGATAAGTATAGAAATGTTCAGGCACACAGTCAATTTACTGTTTTGTTACTTGTCTATTCTTGTCTTCAGTTTTTATTTGGGGAAGCTCATATTTTAAGGATAAGTAAATATTAAGGATATTTACATTTGAGTCGTATATCCTGTAAACTTTTTGTGGTCTTTTTCTTGGTTAGAAATGCTTATTTTTAGGTAGACAAGTGTATCAATCCTTTTCTATATGCTTGCATCAACTTTCATAAGGGAGATTGTTTTTGCTACTGAGTGTGATTTTGTGGGTGTGCATGCAGACTTTTTAAGTGTTCAAATCTATATTTTTCTTGCTTTGTAATGTGCACTAAAAAGGCTTCCATTTATTTTTAGGCTCTGGGACATTTTATAGAATTATGGATTTTCTATTCCTTGAGAGTTTGAAGAAATTTTTACTACAGCTACATGTCCTCAGTACCATTTTACGAGATAAATTTTAGATATGTTTAATAATTTATTCTGTTTTTATTCACTATTTTGCTTTTCTACATCTTTTTAGGGCATTGTTAGTAAATTATCTTTTTATAAAATATTACCAATTTTATTGAGAAGAAAGCATTTACTGGCAGAGACTTGTAAATACAATTTTTTTTTAAAGTTTTATGTATTTGAGAGAGAGAGTGAGCGAGCGAGAGAGAGAGAGAATGCACACGAGCCAGGGAGGGGCAGAGGGAGAAGCAGACTCCCCACTGAGCAGGGAGCCTGATGTGGGACTTGATCCCAGGTCTCTGGGATCATGACCTGAGCCAAAGACAAACGCTTAACTGCATGAGCCACCCAGCTGCCCTGTAAATACAATATAGACTTTTAAAGGTTCATGTATTTTTGCTTATACATATATACGTATATGTTTTAACTTTTTTTTACTTCTGCCTTTCTTATATTAGACTATCTAGGGGGTTGTACATTTTACTTTTCAAAGAATCAACTCCTGATTTTATTTGTTAATTCTATTTTTTTCTGATTCACTAATTTTTTTTTGTCCTAATTTTTCCTAATCAGTTTCCCTTGCTTTATTTAGGTTTTTTTTTTTTTTTTTTTGGATGGAAAAAAATTTCTCTAATTCCAAGAAGTAATTACAGGAGAACCTAGGCAATGATATATATCCTGGGACTAGGAAGAAGAGAGGAAAATACACTAGTAAGTCAACATATTACTCAGAGAGATGTCTGAATACGTAAGAAAATGATACGCTTCTGAGACAGACATCAGGACATGATTCCGGAGTAAGTCTACTGCCTGCAGTTCCTGGGTTTCTAAGTGGAATCTCATTCTCTTCAGGTACTGGAAGTTGGTCTGTGATTCTGAAAAGGTTGAAAAACAGTTTCCAACCAGGTTCTTTGTTCCCCTACTTCTAAACACTTAGTATATGCCAGACACTGTGTGGAGTTATTCGTACGAACCGTCTTATTAAAATCTCATGAGAGCTCCATGAAATAGGGAGTCCTGTTATCCCTGTTTTATGGTGGGGGGAGGAGAGCAAGAAAGCGATTTGCTGAAAGTCACATAGACAGAATGGGAATCCAGGTGTGTTAGACTGCAGAGCTTGTATTTTTAACCACCCCCAACACACCGCAGTTTTATCACTGCTGACCTTAATTGCTACAGCATAGTCTTATCATTTAAGGGCATGGCGGGGGGGCTTGTAGAGCCAAGGATCAATAATCAAAATGAAATTAAAGTACTATGACTCATTACGCCCATATTCTTTCTCCTCAAAATTCTATTCCATTACTCATCTTAAAGCAAGCAAAACATTTACATAGAAAATACTTGAACTGAATGTCTGAGCCATCAGAATATTTCTCAGCATGACAGTCAATATTTTTATTACCAAAAGAGGGGAGAGGAAGAGGGTAGGGGGGAGAAGGGGGCAGAGCTGGGGGAGGTAGCTCTTAGAAGAGATACGGGGAAATGACAGCGGAGATTTCATCCCAACTAATCTGACTTTGTAGCCTGTTCAGACACAGAAAGGTTTATCTTAAAACACTCACAAAGTCATTTTTAAAACTGAAATTAAAATGTCTAAGGGTTCAAGCCCTTTACTGGATAACACAGATCTGTTGAGTTTATGCTTTTGAAACAGTTTCTTCTGAGAATAGTCCAGCCAATTCTTTTGCCTCATGAGAGAGAAGAATGAAATAAATGAAGGTAAAGTTGCAGCTGAATTGAACGTGATGTAATGTGAACACAGCCAGAGCCACCAAGGATGAATCACAGCAAACTTAGGTCAAGCGATTCTCGCAACAGCCCATCTGGAAGTTCAATCAGGACAGCAGGAGACGCAGGCCCTGGGGAGTCTGTTCCACTCCGATCTGAGTCTTTAAATCAGCGCCAGCATTTACATTCGAGACCTCTCCTGAATACCACCCGCAGCATATTTTTTTTTTCCGGAGAGCACAGCGGCTGCTCTTCACTAAAGTATTAGCCAATCAAGCCTGTTGATTTAGAACATTCCCACTTACTTACAAAATGCATATAGTTATATACATTCAGACACCAAAAAACAAAAGCCACCTATAAAAGACAAGACCTATTTTAATGAGATTTTTTAAAAATGCAGAGTTCCATTCAGGGCTTTGGCTGGAACAGGACACCCCAATAAGGCTGCTGCTGAAAGCCCAGTAAGGGAGAAAAAGGAGAAAAGGAAGACAGGAAATGTTATTTCAGATCTGACAGTAACGAAGGAAGTCTATTCTGTACTTACAATAGCAGTTGGGGTGGCAGCCAGCACACAATAGAGCACCAGAGGGGTGATGAAGCTTTCTTCCTCTGTCCCTGGGTAAGGCTTCATTAAGTCTCCGTCCTGACAGAAGAATCCTTGGATATGCACCTGAAAAGTGTCAGTGCATTCGAAGTAGTAGGCAAGCAGCACTGTCCCAGCCATGATGACAAGCTGAAAATACAGCATGGCCACACAGAGACATTAGCAGGACTTCGGAGCAGCGCTCGCCCCGCAGAACACACTCCCTCCATCACCCCAGCCGCTCTCCTCCTTTTGGTATTGGCAAGTGTGTGCGTGCCTGGCTCAGCATGCTCTGGGCTCGGGGAGTGTGTGCTTGCTTGTCTGCCTTGTAACATCTGTTATAGAAACCTTCCAGAAAATAATGAACAGCTCCCATCGGAAAGGCAGACCACGGCAAGGCTTGGAGGGAGACCCCGCTTCTGCTGGCCACCCTCTCAGAGGACGCTTGGGAGCCAAGGCAGTATTTCCAATTGGGTCAGTGGTGAAAAGTCAAGGGGCAGTGGCATAAGAACTGGCAAGATGTAGATGTGAGAAATTTCATAAAGTATTAGAGATAGACTTACCTTCTTATAAAATATTAGAGGCAGGTAAATCATGAATGAATGAACAAACAGGAAAGCTGAAGCCTAGAAACGTTAAAGCCTAGAACCACACCCTAAATTACTAGCAGGGACAAACACATGGTCCAGGAATCCTAGACCAGGCACAGCTGTCACCTTCTCCAAAAAGGTGCCTTTATTCCAAAATGCTTTCCACCAGTAAATCCAGGGCTTTCCTGGTAATATCTTATCATAGACACAGATCCTTCATAAGGTTTAGATATAAAAGGGGACATACTTAGTCTTTCATTTTGACTCACAAATGTCCCAGATACTCACCAAGGTTTAGATGTAGCCTTTGGGTATGAGAAGTTGAGGGAATATGAAAAAGCCAACATTAGTTTTCTTATTCATATTTGGAAACACTAAAATGCCAAGTAAGATGGTGATAAAGGTAGCTAGGAGACAGGTTTTTGAGGTTATGAAATTACAGAAAATTAAGCTGGAAGAGGTCCTGGAGATCTTCCCATCTAAACCTTTATTTCCTAGATGAGAAGGCAGAGGCCCAGCAAGGGGAACTGAGCACTGCTGAATCATCCAACAGGTTATCTAAACAGGTACTTAGGTTGAGAATCAGCAAAGCAGGGAAACTAAAATAGAGGAAAAAAAATTTTTTTAAAGTGTTGATTTTTTTAAAAAAAGTATCAAAGTAATCATTATGGAAAAAAAATCAGATCTTGGGAGGATGTCTTTGTACGTCATTTATGGCTTAAAATTGTTTTTGTTTGGAAGTACATATGGGGCAATGAGGAGAAAAGAAGGGTTTAGGAAGGCTAAAAAGTAAGAAGTTCTTATTCCAGCCCTGGAATGACTAACCCAATGTCATGACATAGCTAGTTAGTGTAAGTCTGGGACTAGAAACCCACATTTTCTGATCCCCAGGAGAAAAAACAAACAAACAAACAAAAAAACCCAAAAAAACACCTGTATCATGGGATCAAAATTTCACCCTCCACAAAAGCCTGAAGAGTTATGGCGGGGAGGCACAGGCTCAACTCTAATGCAGAGAGGCACTTTTTTACCTGTTTCCTATCCATTTCTTTAGCCCCAGCATTGCAGAGAAGCTCTACACTCTGGCCACTCTCTGAAACCCGACACAGCCTCTACTTGTGATCTTATCCCTGCAGTGCCTCCTCGTTACAGCTGAAAGCATTCAGGAGCTTTGAGCTGTAGTGTGTCTTAAACGTGAACTCCTAACAATTCTGCTAGAAGGGTCTTTGTCCTTGATCTCAACCATTGCCTCCTTTCTTTATCTCCAGGTAGGTCGCAAACCACACTTCCCAAGCACCGCCCTTCAGACATGACTTATCTCTGGTTCTACAAGGACTGTATTCTGCTCTCTGGCCTTTCCTCCCCCTCTCCCCCAGTGGACACAACTTCTGACCATCTCGTCATCTCTGGATACTCCCGTGTGTTTCTCAGTGCCTGACGGTATTTCTCGGTGAATTTACCAAGTGTAAATCACCAGTGCTCGGGTCAGCCCTCTCTGCTTTCTTTTCTTTTTAGCCCCAGAGAGGAGATTTGGATAAGTATGAGAGAGAGGTGCTCCAAAGCTGCCCCTGCTAATGGGTGCTCCTGCTGACAGCTAGTATATCTCCTCGAGGTCACGAAGTTTCTCTTCCTTTCTTATTTCACTGGTCAACTGAGCTGACCTGATGGGAAGGAGCCTAGTCAGGTGACCTGAATGTTTTGGAGCTGAGGAAACACTATGATTTCCACAGTTTGGGGGGCTTTCCCTCTAGGGCTGTCTGTGTCTCCTGCACAGGCCTGATCTGGGATTTCTAGACATCTCCTCCATGTGGCTGGAAACATATTTCTGTCCCATGGCTTCATCAGCCCTTGAGAAACAACTACTTGGAAAACAGGCAGGAAACAGCCACTTGGAGAACAGACGGGATCTACGGGAGCTTTTGAATAAAACAAAAACAAAAATGGCATCTAGCTTCCTCCACCGAGGACAAGTGTCAGATTTTACTGGACACCCCTGTGCTACCACTTCCATTTTAAAATGGGCGGGATGAAAGTAAAGTCCACAAAAGCGAAAATGTACATAGGTAAAAAGACTCACTAGAAAAACGTAGACTAGAAGCTTTTAGAACATAGAACCATCTTAACTTCAAATACATCAAAATCAATACTAATGCCAACAAAAAAGCCAAGGCCAGTATGCCTAAATTTGAAATCTATAGAATAAATCTCGAACAGCTGTCTGGCCAGTTCAATCCCGGAAGCAGCACTGAGAGAGAACAGAATGAATGTGCGAATCAGTCAGTTGCAGGACAGTAAGTAAGGAACAGAGAGCCTCGGAGACTCAGGGTGTTATAGGAAGGTGGGAACTTGGGCAGCCTGGTGGACAGAACTGACCCGGAAGCATAAGTCTACTGACCCTGATCATTCTCCCTGATCAGCCAGAACCCCCGCCTGCCATCTTCAAGTAATGCTCAAACTCCCTGGAGAGTCCCCTGTAACGCCAATGAGACACGTACAGAAGCAAAGCCAGAATAATTCAGATCTTGATTTCTAGGTTTCTTTTCTATGGAACATTCTCTTGGGACCACATATTAAAAAGCAGCTTTGCATTTACTGCAGGAACAGAAACACTGCAGTGGTTCTGCTTCCATGAGCAGAAGAGGTCTGCCTTGCCACTCTGGTGACAGTGCGCGATTAGCCATCAGAGTCCTCCCTCCTTCCTCTCGGTCCTGGGCCATGATCCATCACTGTCTAGGTCTGGGTCGCTGGTGCCAGCTGGCACATTTGCCATCTCTGTTGCCTTCTCCAGCCCCATTTAGGGATGCATGGAGGGAGGCCATAATGTTGGTGTCACATGAGCAGATGGTGAGGCTGTGCCGGACCCAAGTGCTAGTGGAGGGTTGATGATACCGGTGTGAAAGGAGCAATTATGGCTGTTGGGGCGGGGGGAAGGGCCTTACGTACCACGGTTTTTCCTCAGCTTCACTTCCCAAGAATGACAATCTGGTATATAAAAACACATTAAATCCTGACCGTTCCACAAGGATTCAGAAGGCAGAAGCCAGCAATATCTGAAATCCTGCCTCTCAGGGTTGGGATCACTACCCTCCAGTGATTAGAGAAAAGTGAAGGTCACGAAGAGTGATAATGGGGACGGTCACAAAGCTGAGGGTAAGGGCGGAGATGACAGTACACTTTCCTTGGGTCTGTAAAGTCTGGAGCAATTGTGGACATTAATTTATATGACCTGATATAAGCTCAAAGAGTGGGGGAATGGGTAATGATGGTATGACTCAAGACAGCAAGTGAATATGAGTATGTGTGTGTGTGTGGACAAGTGTGTGTACTCATCCAGGAGCCTGGGAGCAGACATGTGAGGTTGGAATGAGAGGACTGGTATCGGGTCTGGAGTGTAAGGGGCATATGTGAAGCTGGGGAAGCCCAGTCTAGGTGATGAACCATCTCTGTTTGCTCAAGACTAAGGGGTTCCTGGGACATGGGACCTTTCAGTGCTCAAACTGAGATCATCCCAAACTAACTGGGGTGCTAGGTCACTCTACCTGAGGCAATGAATGTTTTCCTCCCTAAAGGGTTTTCTCATTCTGGTTTTGCCAGCAGCTATCAAGCCCACTGCAAATTTATCAGTCAACCAACAACTGTTTGTGGTAACTGCCTCTATGTTCAGTCCCAAACTAAGTGCTGTGAAGGTGCAGAATTTGTGATCCGGCTGGGGAGTGCTCATCAACACAAGAACCAGGCGATTGTTGGTAGATCTGTAGGAGGGTGTCAGCTGATCCCCAGCTAGGGGTCATACATGGCTGCCTGTGTCTGGTGAACTGGTAGGGAGGGAGTTGACAGAAGAATAGATAAAGGGCTGATGGATGGAAGAGAAGGGAGTACAAGGGGATGGAGAGGACAGCATGGGGTCTGTTTAGGAGACTGGTTTGAACTAAGCCCCAGGGGTATATGATCAGTTCCAAAGACAGCAGGGATAAAAGAAACTCAGCAGAAGGAGAACTGTATCAGAGCTTAGAGAGTAAGATTCAGTGTGGTTGTGATGCAGAGGTAATGTCTTAGTGAGGACTCCCGGAAATGATACACAAGAAGGACTTGCATGCTTTTCATATTAAGAAAGAGCCAGCTAGGCACGAGTGTCTGTAGCTGCACACAAGGGCTGGGGTGGGAAACCCACAGGTAGGGCGCTAATGGAAGTGTGAACCAAGGTCATAAGCTGGAGGGAAAACATAAGAAAACGGATCATGAGCCCTTGTGAGACCTCCATGGGCACCTTTAGAAGTAAGTGTGACCCTCTGAGAGGGGTTGGAAGTTCTCCACATAAACAACAGAGGTAAGAGCCAAGAAAGAGGAGGAAGAGATGGTGCCGATAAGGGTCAGGATATATATGATGCATTAAGTCCCAGGTACTGTCTAAAAACTTTACATACATTAACTCTGCTTCTGCCCAATGACCCTGCATGGTAGGTATATTATTATTTCCATTTTTCAGGTGATGAAATAGAGGCACAGAGAGACTACATGACTTGCATAATGTCACACAACTCATGGGGTGGACCCAGGATG